ATTCTTTCATCGATGGAACCACACAACAAGAAGGAACCACCTGAAAAATCGACAAACCAAAAAAATAATTGAAAAATGCAGATCGAAGAATTGAAAGAAAAGGAAAGAAGGAGAACTTACAAGTCAAGCACAAAGGAGTTCTGTCACGACCCAGACCATCGTGATTGGCACCCACCCTAACCCTCAAGTGGGAGAACCATTTATACTAATTAGCTAATCAAAGAACCAAATAACTAAGGCATTTAAGTTACGGAAGCGAGTTAAATAACTAAAAACTGAAGTTCCCATAAACTTCCAAATGACCTAACAACTAAACAATGCGGAAAAATACGCCTAGAACCTGAAAGTCAATGTACCAAAACATCTAACAAGATCCATAAGTCTAACAAGAAGGGTTACGACCCCAAACTAATGAACTAATAACTAACTAGAAAAGACTAAGTCCGAAATGTGGAAATAGACTAAAGGAGAACTCATGGCAGCCTGGAAGAACTGACTCACCCTTGAATTCGATCAGCGATTACTGATCTTCTAAGTGAGGTCTATCAATAGCCGCCTGAAGATGCTATGTACTCAACAAAGAAAGAGCAAGTGCAATATCAGTACACAACCACAGTACACTGGTAGGGTCACGCGGCTATCCCACTAAGTGCAACATACATAAGCCAATACAACAATATAATCACATGCATATATCGAACATATACAATATCATCATTATTTACGAACAACGAACATTTTCACATTTCTCAAGATATACAATTATATCAATTCATTGGCTCTTTCATGGAACCCAAACCCAAACTGTTAGCATACCGGAATGTGGTACCCGATCCAATGTTTATGCCGGAACATGGCAACCAATCCCATAATTATGCCAGAACGTGGCAACCGATCCAAGTTAGTGTTTCGGAACACAACACCCGATCCATTAAACAAGCCACAATCACAATCACAAAGTACATTCTCATAATCATACAATCAAGTCATGATTCGTGACATTCATCATTCATATATCCTCATTTACAATTTAATGTTGATCAATAATGCAACATTCGCATACATACATGTATCATAATGAAGCAAGAATAAACATACATCATACAATCATAGAATCAGAATCATCACCTACCTCGAAACAAGTTTGAAACCCTAAGAAACTTGATTCTTCCTTTCGGATTCGTTCCGCTTGTTCTTGGTCTACAAACAATCAATATAATATGAGAATCAATAAACAATCACTAATTACCCAGATTACTAACAATTCTAACAACCTTATATCATACCCATGATCCCACTATCCAAATTAGGGTTTTTCCCACCATAATTCTCAGATCAAAACTCTCTTCCATCGATATTTACCCATTAGATTACGTTCTACGGATCAAAAAATGGATTCGGGAAGTAAAAACGTTACATTTAGCCTTAAAAGTGGTGGAAAATTGTCAAGAATCGCCTGGGATCCGTCTCCTTACTCTCAAAGTCGAAAAGTGCAGAATAAAGACGTTTTGGGGTTTATTTCCAACTTAAGTCACATCGAGCCCGCCACAACAGTCCCTACCCCGCTACAGCGGCCCCGCCCTGGTGACAGAAATCACCGCCAAAGCGGCTTGCACGAGACGGTGAGCTATTTTAATAATTCTAATACCTCTATTTCACAACACGTCTTCAACCAACGACACTCAGAAACTACCCGTTCACGCTAAGATCAATTTCGGGAGTTCTACTCACCCAAATTCAATTTCTGGAGTTCTACTCACCCAAATTCAATTTCTGTAAAGTCGTACGGGTTCCTTAACGACTTATCTATCTACTCATGTGAGCAAATTCATAATTAGATCACCCAATTGATATCAGATTTCCCTAGACTTTAATGACTCTGATTTCGTCCAAATCTGGACTAGGTTGGAAAATCTCAAGATACTACGAAAAAGTTTTTCGGCCCAAAATTTTTCCTCATTGGATTTTCTATAACGACGGGAACAGGTCGTTACAAGTTCATGGACAACAACTCGGGCTAGTGACTTTTGAAAGAGACCATCAATTTCCTAATTTCAAAATGGAGCTTTAAACAAGAGAGATTATCGGTTTTTTTTTGCAGAAAGATCGACATTTTTTTAAAAAAAAATTGGCTTTGATTTTTTTTCTTTTATTTGTTTTCATTTAACTCCTGGCCTATCACTTTTGGGTTGGCCAAAAATTTGTTTTCCTTTTTACTTAATCTATAAAATGGCCCATGGTCAAATGTTGACAATTCATTGAAATTTTATTAAAAAATTCATTATTAGAGCGAGAATCAACACCATCTTTAGATTTATTTGAGACATGAATTGGAGACTATCCTTCCACAAAAATATACTAGGTGTAAAATTAAAAAATAAACAACTTTTTTCAACACGAGAAAAAAAAATCACTTAGAATATGACATCCACCGAACGCTAAATCAATTACTATATTTTTTCAAATCCACCAATGGAGGGGGGGGGGAGGGTAAGGTACTTCCCCAACCTTTGTACTATAAAAAATCAAGTACACGGAGGAGGATCTAGACCTTTGCTTCCAGAGCCAAATGAAGAATGAGGGTATGAAATATTTCACTCTTATGTACCTATGGTTACAAATATTGTAAGTCATGTGAGGATAAAAATTCCACCTAATGTAAAAGTTGAGGCGAGTATAATTATGAGAAAAGGCATAAAGTCGTCACTGAAGTTGTCCTGGATTTTCAAAAAGTTACCTTAACTTTGCAAGCTTTCTATTACCCCATAAAAGTTTTGAATATCTTTGTAAAATAGCCATTTTGACCCATTCTCTCACCTGATTTGTGAACACGCACAACACACGTGTGAAACAATGTTTTTACTGCGAATAACCAATTAAAAAGTGTCACATTTCGCTTATTTTCTTTATTAATTAATTATTTACTTCTTTTACATCATATTCCCCAAAACAAAACCTCAAAAGAGTCATTGGTACTCCCTCTTGACAATTTCATCATCTTCCCCAAAACAAGGTCAACGTTGATACTTTCTCTAACGAATTCACCATCTTCCCCAAGCACAATAAGGTATGAATTCATTTTCTCTTTTAATTTTCAATCGAAAAGGTTAGTTTGAAGTTTTCAAGATTTAATTTGAAGTTTTTCAAGAAGAGAACAAAACCCTAACAGTAGCAATTAGTCAATAACACAATGAAACACACTAAAATCCTACAATAGCAACTATAATAAGTCGATTCTAACACTTTTTACAGTATAATAACCTCTAAAACAGTAGCAATATGATCTTTATCAACTAATGTAAGAAAACCCTAACATGTTAACCTTCAATTCCTTGTTCCTCCAAGAATTGTGACCAAGAAACGTCAAAAAGTAAGCAGATTATCACCACACTATCGTTTGACCAAGAACACGAAGAGACATGGAAAATTGAGACAAAAGAAAGGAATTTTCTCTTATTGAAACGAATCGGGTCGGGTGTAGACTATGGTAACTCGTAATCATCACGCGCGTCTAACCAGGTGAGGGAATGAGTCAAATGACCCTTTTACAAAGACATTCAAAACTTTTTTGGGGAATAAGACGCTTGCAAAGTTAATATATCTTTTTGAAAATTCGGAACAATTTCAATGGTGACATTATGTCTTTTCTCTATAATTGAGTAAGATATTGCACAAAATAGAAAGAGTTGTACCAACTCTATAAGTGAGATCGACTAACATCATTAATCACAAGATGATTTTGCTTTGACGTGATTTTGAGGTGCGGGAGGCCCCGTTGATCAAGCCTCACCATGACTTTGAATTTACTAGGTTGTGAACCAAGATCGTAGATATCATGACTTTTGGTTACCTTTCCAACGTTAGCTAAGTGATCAACCACTGTGTTTCCTTCTCTAAAAGTGTGAACAAAAAATTAAAGTTTTCAATGCCGAGGAGATGAGTAATCTGATCCGTAATATGTTTTACATGTCATGGAACCCTCATTTTGTTTTTAGTCACATCCTCCACCACTTGAGAGTTAGTTTCCACAATAACATTCAAAAATTGTTTATAAATATAAAGTTTTAAGTCTCGCAAGATAAATTTAGCCTCGACACTGTTATTGCTGGAATGATCATAAAAATCTGCAAAGGAAAGTTCGTATATGAAAACAGCATGTGTGTTTTCTATATTGAGAAGAGGGGTTCTGGATTTGATATTTTGGGAATTTTTTCAAAAATAATTTTCAAGGCTTTGGTCAATTTTCTTTGGAAACATCAATGGGTGTAGATAGTTTTAATTTTTATTTTTATATAGGATATTTAATTTTATACGGAATAGATAATTTTTTTAAAATTTATCATTAAATTTTGTTTGGATATTTTTATTAAAATTTATATTTCTTAAGCGGGTGAATTCAAGTTAAATTATGTTTTGTAAATACGATTTGTTGACATGATACATATTGTGAATTTCACTTCGATAAAGATGTGAAATGAATGATCATAATTTTGTTTTAAATTTTCTTTCCGATAATTATCGAGTAGTAATCGATTTATTGGACTAAGCCTATGAATGGTTTCTTAAAACTCAATGTTGATGTGTGCGTTTAAGGGAGTAACATAGTGACAGTATTTTGATTCCCATCAACATTGAGTTTTAAGAAACCATTCACAGGCTTATTCCAATAAATCAATTACTACTCGATAATTATACGGAAGAGAAAAAAGAAAAAAATTTAAAACAAAATTATGATAATTCATTTCACATCTTTACCGAAGTGAAATTCACAATATGTATCACATCAACAAATCGTATTTAATGAACATTTTTTAACTTGAATTCACCCGTTTAAGAAATATAAATATTAATTAAAATATCTCTTAACAAAATTTAATGACAAATTAAAAAAATTATCTATCTATTTCGTGAAAAATTAAATATATCCTATATAAAAAAAAAGAAAACTATCTCACCAATTGATGTTTCCAAAGAAAATGACCAGAGCCTTGAAAATTATTTTTGAAGAATTTCCCGAAATATCAAATCCACCCCTCTTCTCAATATAGAAAACACAGATATATACTGTTTTCATATACGAACATACATATATGTATCGATTCTCCATTCAGCTTTGACGATCAAGCGAAAACTACGAATTTGCAATGAATGGATATCTGAACTCTCTCTTGATCCAGGTAGAAATATAAACCCTAGCTTCTAAACTTGGTTAAAGATGAGATTGCTTTAAAATGGAAAGGAAAATCCTTGAATTTGTTAGACGTGTTTGTATCAAACAATGAGTACAAATTCTTTTGTTGTTGGTAACTTTAGGTTTCCATTGTCGAAAATGAATGTGTTTTGAGTTAGAACATGGTCAGGAGTGTAATCTGATGTAACTGAGTTTGTTTGTTGAATCCAGGTGTCGGAAGAAAGTGGAAATTAACTTGGTTTCAATCAGTGTTAGTGTTGGGGATAGCTGTATATAATTGCAGGTTTTGGGATTAGATAGCTGCTGACTGTACTGATGTTGTATAATTTGTGGTTTGGTTTGACCAACTTGTAATTGAATATTCTGATTTGGTTTGCTCTTGGGATTAATTTGGAAATCTGTTGTATAAGATGGTTTGAATCCAGTCATGATTGAGGCCGTGCTGTATTAAGTCTATTTAGGTGAAACAGATTTGACAGTGGTGCAGAATATTGGGTTTGTTGGTGGGTTGGGAGTTGTTTTACGCAGTATTGCAGAATGAGCTTGGAGACTGATGGTGGGAGCTCCACAGATTGTGCTTCGGAAACTCAGAAGTAATGCTTAATTTTCTTTCAGTTTCTGACATGATTTACGGTCATGTACTGTATTGTCTTAGACTTTATTTGTTTTGAAGCTTTATATGAATGCTAGATATATAATGATTCAGGAGTTCAAGAAAATCATATTCAAGAGAGGTTCTGTTGTCAATAAGTCAACTGGAGATTTGCAAGAAGTTACCTAGTGAATTTAATGAGCCAACCCTGAGGTAAGCATGCCAATTTTCCTTAAATGTATTGCAGTTGCTTGGAACTAGAGGAGTAAAGTGATAATTTCCAAAATGTAGTGGGATAGCTCCCATAACATGCTCTAGTGTCTTTTGGATATTGTGGAGCATATTGATAATTTGCATTTTCTCAAATAGTGAACTTGAAGACACTTCACATGGTATACAAGACCGCCAAAGAGTACCTGGCAGCTTACCTTTGCAAGGGTTTAGACGCACCGACTATAGTTCATCCCCACCTACTCGTGGGGATTCCAGTAGTTATTCACGAGGCAATTATGGAAGATGGGAAAGCCGTTCGTCTGGATGGGGTGATCGAGATAACGACGCACAATCTGATCGGGATTCAGGTCAGCTCAGATTCTTCCATATATATTGCTTTTATGTGTGTGAGAAGCCTTTTCATTATACTTGATTGCTTCAGAACTGCAGCTGTAGTTGTACTGTATATTATCTAAAAAGAAAAAAACGAAGGAAAGAAAAAAAAGGGAGATCATTATAGGATCTCCCTATAATGATAGAGTAGGTTTAGTGATTTTGTGAGTCCAAATATTTGGAGAAGACAGCAATTGTATCTAATCAAACAGATGGCAAAAATTAGATTTTCTGATACTGAAGTATGGAGGTTGAATTACTGGTGCTGCTCTTGATGTATTATTTAGGAGCAGCTTGCCTTAAGTTTAGCTGACGGAAGCAACTTCCTTGGAGAATGTTGATTTAAAAAGGGTGAGAAAAAGAGAATGAACTGGACTCATACTTGAAGCCTGATTGGTTGGAAAACCTTGAGCTTAGAATGCCATGCAATATGGTAATATAATTATGGAACATGTTTCTTTGTCTACAACACATAGAGGACTTCTGCCATTTGTTTCTACACTGTCCAGTGACAACAGATTTATGGAAGGGTTTTGCCCTTTTGTATTAGTAATGTCTACAGAAGTTGGGGACAGTGGAATGTAGGGAAGCCTATTAGAAAGATCTGTCAGACTGTTCTTACCTCCAGTTTTTGGGGTCTTTGGCTTGAAAGAAATAGCAGATGCTTCGAAGGGAACTCTTCCCCTCACCTACATGTTGAGACATAGATTCCACATTTTTCTTGCTGCAGTAAATTTGACATTGTAAATAATTTAGTTCTTTGTTGACTTTGTTAGTTCCCTAGTAAGCATCTAGAAGATTCACTGTTGTGGAGCTAACTCTTTCTGACATAGCATTTCCTTCGCACTTTTTTTGCTCACAAATAGGCGTGATCTATTTTGGCTTTTAGATAAACTGTTGGTTATCGTTAATATATCTTTCACATTTTAATTTTTTGAAAAAATAACTTACATATTTCAACTTACATTCCTCTGTGTTTAGGGATGATGAATCAGACCATCCCCGAACCTTGCAAATAGGGTTAACTTCCTTCTGATTATGATGCTTACTATTATGTTCATATTTTTTGAATCACATAAATGTGTTCATTCAGGATATCTGTGTGAGATTGGATAACTGTGTAGGGATCATCTCTTAGGAGTATCATGTTTTATATGTTCTCATTTTACAAACTGGGGACTCAAGTTATCCCTGTTGGACGCAATTAGAATAATTATCCTTCTATCAATATTATGCCGACTTTCTTTCTTTTGACAATGAAAGGAGTATCAAGGTAAAATTATGCTGGACTTTCTTTTACTTCTCATTCTGTAGTTGTTTCATGGATGCTGGTTAGCTACCTTCCACATGCTTGTTTCTTTGGGTATTATACATTTGGTCCATTTGTGATGATCATAGTTGGAGGAACTGTTTGCCAAGGGTCTTGAATCTCTATTTCCCTTTAAATTCTATCTTCAAAAAAACAAATTGGAATGCAGGTTCCACTCATGGTTAGGCACATTAATCATTAGTCTTCTGAGAAAAACCTCGAGTGCCGTTTGAAGGTTCTTCTCTGCTCCACTTCTTGTGTTTTGCGTTATTTGCTGGCTGAATTGCAGAAATAGTGCCCCTCTTGCATCATAGGCAATATAGTGCATTTTCTGCTATGTAATGCCTTGTTCTTGTCTGCCAGATATGCTCTATATTCTTAGTTGATTCTGTGTATGTGTTTGTGGCACTAAGATAGTTTGTTTTTCTTCAGAGAGATTTTGGTGATAACTTTTGAGTTTTGACCCAGATTCTGGTAGGAGATATGGCAATCAAGCTCAGCGCACTTCGCAGAGTTCTGAGCATGATGGGCTTCTTGGAAGTGGTTCATTTCCGAGGCCGTCTGCGTATGGATCTGGAACATCTGCACCTAAGGTCCAAGCAAGCAATAACTATCAATCTAACAAGACCAATGAGCCATATCATCCTCCCCGCCCTTATAAGGTGAACTTCGGTGATCACGGCTTTCCAATATTCTGTCATGCTTCATTACTTGTCCTCTTATTTAAACAACACCTTAACATAAAATGGATTCTTGTAATATATTCAGGCAGGACCTCACCCTCGAAAAGACACTGATGCAATCAATGACGAGACTTTTGGTTCAGTTGAGTGTACCAGTGAGGATAGAGTGGAAGAGGAAAGAAGGAGAAGAGGTATTACTAATTAAAGCCTCATTTGCTTGCACTTAATGCAAAAGTTGTAATCTTAATTGTTTATAGCTCAATTATTAAGTCCGTTTGTTTTTTAAATTTGAATCTTAATCATTCAGATTTTGATCGTTAAGTAGTTACCGTTATAAAAAAAAGGAGGTTTTAATCATTAAGTGCGTTTTTTTTAATGTTAGAACTCTTAATGAGTTTGAATAGATCTGAATCATAAAGATCCGTAACAAAGTCTTAATATCATTAAGATTGTTATTCAATTTTCTTTACAAAGATGGCAGTTAACCAAACCATTCATTCATTCATACCTCCATGACCCACTATTATCAACTGCCGACACTATGCCTATCATTATCAACTACCACTACCCACCACCCACAACCACCACCTTTGCCAATCACTACAATTAACTATCACCACCCACCCACCCACAACCACCACCTATCTCTACCGATAATCACCACCATCAGTCACAACTATATATCTCCAATCACTGTCATCATTCTTCACCAACACTACCTATCACTATCATCTACCACAACTATCAGCCGCCACCACCACCAACTACCATCATTAACCACTACTGCCAGTCACAATCACCACTGACTAGCTACTACCCACATTAGAAATGCCATCCCCAATCTGCACTACCATCCGTCACCGCTAGCTATTACCACCACTAACCGCCATATAATTTCTTAAAAATAATTTGTCGATATAGCATTAGATGACTTTGGTATTTTATTAAATTTTATATAAATTAAATTTGAAACAAAATTATGTTGAAAAAACAAACGGTCTTAATTATTTAGCACTCAAATCTTAATACAACATCTTAATATTAAGATGTGTATTTAGATTCACACATCTGAATCTTAATGCACATTTTAATATTCAAATTCAAACATCTTAATCTTAATAAAAATAAATAAGACCTAAGATCAGGCGTTTCCTTGTGATGTGATGCTATATCCCATGTTAGCATCTGTATTTTTATGAGCTTGTGGAAGATAGAGTTTTGATTGAATTTCTTTCAGCTTCTTTTGAGTTGATGAGGAAAGAACAGCATAAAATTCTTCAAGAGAAGCAGAAGTCAAAACTGGAGAAGCATAAAACTGAGGACATTATAGTACAGCTGGAAGATAATAAGGAGGATAGAACAGTTTTGGAAAAAAATAGTGAAGTAGATGGGATGACCACCCAACCTTCAGCAAACAGTGATCTGGGAAGAACTTCTTTTCCTTCACAGAATCCACCAGCTAGACCGCGTGTACCCCCCGGCTTTAAAACCACTGTGTTGGATAAGAACTCTGGCTCAAATTTGAGCCATTCACGCATGACAGAGGTATTTACTTTTTACTTAATTTTCTCCAATAGAGTATTATGCTTGAGTCCTTTTCTTATAAAAAAGAAGAAAAAGAAAATGGGGCTTCAAGGAAATAAGCAAAAGGGGAAACAATAAGAGAGGATTTTTCATTTCGTCTTAGTTCTTTGTCAATTAATACCCAGTTTATATGATCATGCTTGACGGGATGTGGAGTTTAAGAAGCTAAGGAAAACTTTTGATATATAAGCTCAATATATGCAAAGTACCAAAATTGCCATACTACCAACAATTAAATGAGATGGGAAGAATTCCACATGTCTTTCATCTTTCGTTCTCCTAGTAAAAGATCATTAGATCAAGTGGATATGGACAAGTAAGGGTAAAATGATGATGTTACGATTAAATAGTTTCCAAATACAAAAAGTGTCTTTTATCTTTTTGGAATAACCTAAAAAGAAATGTCACAAAATGAAAAAGAGGAAGTGTATACTAAAATCCTCCCTGAGGATCTTTTTTTTGCTTCTATGTTGACTTGATTAACAATGAGGAAATCTTGTAAGTCTTAGCTGGACTGAACTATGAAATATTTATTCATTATAAGTAAACCGGCTCATAATCTTGCAGTGCTGAAAGTGCGTGATGTGGTTTGCTTAACTGTAAGTCCCAATTCGATTTATTTTAGGCTGATGAGTTTCTTAGAATTAGTAAAAATTGAACAATCTTGTCATGATAGAGAGCAGTAGCTGTGTGGTTATATGTAAATCACCCAGTTGTTTGATGATGGAGTTTTAAGTTTGAGTTGCACCCGTTGAGATATTACATGCGATGGCATCTCTGTCCAACTGTCTATCACTGTGAATCCGCTGGTGTTAACTATTGATTTCCTGGTCATGTCTTCTGGTTAGGTTGGAAAATCTGATACCGAAGAAAGCCTATTGGATGTAAAAGCCTATGCTGCCCCAAATGGTACTGTTCATAGTGTAGAGAGACAGAGCTTGCAAGAAATTAGCTCGAGTTATAAACTTGAACGTAGGAGTTCACACACATCAATTTTGAAGAAGAATGACCAAATTTCTAATCAGTCAGTGAGATCAGATACTTCTGACAGGATACTTGGCATGGAAGATCATTTCAATCAGAGATCAACTCTTTTAGAGGCTCATGAAGCCTTACATGAGCCTGGAATTATTGAACACAGTACCCAGCAATCTGATAGGAAATTTGCTAAGTCTAGCCAAGACCCTTCAGCATCAATCTTGGATAAGATATTTGGAAATGTTATACCAATTAATGTTGGTGACTCTGAGGCTCCAGTTATGGTAATTGTTTTGCACACTTTATCAGCTTCGCTGCTCTCTTAGCTTTGGTGGGCGTTTGGCCATGAAAACCAAATATTATTTACTTTATTTGGAATTTTTAAAGTTGGAGTTGAAGTTGTGTTTGAACATACTTTTTGCAAAGAATATTTAGAACTTGAATGTGATTTTTCTAAATATGGTTTATATCCCACATTTTTAAAAACTAGTGAAATCACCTAACTAGAGTACTGGACTAGTTTACCTGAAAAATACAATTCAAAATCTGCTCTAAAAGAGTAATATCTCAAAACAGATAGTCACATAATGTCATAGATTAGATCCCATGTACGAACTACTACATACTATTACCAATATTTTTTAACTTTCTTTGAAATTTTTGAAGTTGGAGTTGAAGACGGAGTTGTGTTTGGTTATAGTTTTTGCAAATATATTTGGTTGTTTGAATGTACTTCTCCTAAAAAACATGAAATATGATTTAATCATGAAGTATAGTTTAAATGGGGTCATTTTATAAAAATAAAAAATTTAGGGTAAGAGTAAAATTTGAAAAAGGAAAATATAGTGAAAGTGAAAAAAAAAGGAAAAAGTAAAAACAGGGTTTTGGCCGTGTTTCCAAATTCCAAGTTGTATTTGGATTTTCATGGCCAAATGGGTCCTGATTTCATTACTCTTAAACAATCCTATCAACCCCCATTACCCTGCCATTACACAATCCTCCCCTAAAATTGCTTCACGTATTAGGTGGTAAAAAGTTCGTAAGTTGATTTCGTCCCTTGTTTTGGGTAAAGCTTATGTATTTTATGGACTAAGGAGTCGTTTGGTAGCTGGTTAGAGTTATGCATGGATTAGTTATGAAGAAATTTATGTATTTAGTTATGCAGGGTTTACTTATTAATGTATTGATTATTTATATATTACTTATTCCATCTTTTATCGTGCATAAAATAATACAACGATTCTCTCATAACTTATGCATATATTAATTATGTGAAACTTTAAATTGCTAACCAAACACCATATTAATTTTATACATGAATAACTTACCTCCTAATCAACTATCAAACGTGGTATTACTTATGCGGATTCTAATAACTCACTTCCACACCAGCTACCAAACGACCCCTAAGATTGTCATCGTGATCCCTGATGGGTGCGGAAATTCTTGTCATCTGTTGTATTTCTTTTACTTTCCAGTTTTGGATATTCATCAATATTCTTAATTTCATTTAGCAGTACACACTTATGACTTCCCTACTAGTTGTTCATTTTCTTCATTTGACTTTCCCCCCAGAATCACGATAGTAAACCAAATGACATGTTGGGCTCCAAGGCTATACAGTCTTCGAAGTTCGCTCAGTGGTTTATGGAAGAAGGTATTCATTTATGGTGTTTCATTTTTTTCCCTTTTTAGTTTCTTTCTATTGAGGTTCTAACAATTCTTTTTTAACCTGTATTATCCCATTTAATATCGTTGTAGATAGGAAGACAACAGAAGACTCCTCGTCAAGTAGGCCAAATGATTTGCTTGCGTTAATTGTTGGTGGCGATAAATCCAGATCACAAGCTTTTGATGGAAACGTTTCAAAAAGCTTTCCGTCTGAATTTTTCGATCATAGTCCTGAGCCTACAAGTAAGGTCACATTGCATATGCCTTCTACACCACTTGGGCTCCCTGAGCCTATGCATGATTCTAGTAAAAGGGAGGCCACCCTGCCGATCCTTACTTGTGAGGACCTTGAGCATAAAATGTTGTCAGAGTATAGTGAAAAGAAACCTAATCTGCAGCCTACTTCACAAGTTTATGGTACTAATCGCTTAGACACTGTAGAACAACCGGTAAATGTGGACAGCAATGCATCTCAACACCTCCTCTCATTATTACAGAAGGGGCCAGGTCTTACAAATATGGAAGGGAAGGGCAGTACTGGCACTGACGCCCGGGATGGACATGATGAGTTTACTGTGCGTGACAGATCTAAGGAGGAAACTACCAGGGATTCTCACGCTCCAGGAAAAGCAGTTACACTTGAAACCCTTTTTGGATCTGCTTTTATGAAGGAGCTGCAATCCGTACAAGCTCCAGTTTCAATTCAGAAGAACTCAGTTGGTCCTGGATTAATTGATGATTCAGAGACACGCAAGTCATCCTTGCCTGGTTTTGATGATGGCCTATTTTCTTCCATAATTGATGGTATTGGACCAAAAGAAGGTGGTAAGGATAACAGACTCTTGCCATTGAATTACAGTGATCAAACCAAGCTGGATAAGCCTCAAAACTGGCTGGGATTTGGAAATTCTCAGTATGAAGTTAATTCAAGGCTCCAGAGTGAAATGGTTTCCAAGAGTGAGGCTCCTGAATTTCATCTGCCTGCAGAAAACTTATTTAGTGCTCGTGATCATTTGAATCCCCAGGTCTCAATGGTTATGCCTGCAGGAATTTTGAGTAAAGGAGAGTTGACAACTGGTAGTGTGTCTGGCGGTGATGAAAGGTCCTTGATGAGTCTAGAAGGTCTGCCTTTATCGCGCGTTCCCTATGAGCAGTCTGAAATGCCATTGCACCATCGTCTTGCTCAACCATCATCTCTGCAGTTTCATCCCTTACAAATGAGCCAAGGAAGGCCATTATTTCATCCAATGGATTCTGGTCCTGCTCATTTAAATCCTCAGATTTTCAACGGTCGAGAGAGCATGGCTTTACATGAAGCTCCTGGTCGTCAGTTTGCTGGAAATATGAATCGACCTCCATTTCACCGCCCTAATGGTGGGATGACAGGGTTTGATCTCCCTGCTCACCATCCTATGCTGCAGCAGATGCAGATGGCTGAAAATAACCCTCATCTGCTACATGACCGTCTAAGGGGCGCACAGGTTCCTTCACATCTCAGTAATCAAGCAGCTAACAATATGCAGGAAGTTAACAGAGTTCAAGCTTTCCCTTTTGTGCCACACCAAGTCAACATTAGTGGCCATACTGTGCAAATGCCAGGTAAGCTTAAATGTCCCCTCTCTGCAGCTGTTTGTGATGATATTTTAGAGATTAAAACCTCAAAAAGAAGTTGCTCTTTTCTTATCTTGCTGAATTTAATGCATAGATTTCATTTCTTCAATGTTTTCTACTTCTTCCTCAGTTTTTCCATCATGATAATGAAAGAAAGCATGCGTGCACCTTTCTTTCTAGATTACACCTCAAAATGAGGTTTCTCTTTCTGATCTTGCTGAAACTTAAAGTACAGATTTCAGCTCAACTGTGGCCTCTACTTGTTCCTTAGTTTTTCTACCATGATAGTATAAGAAAGCACGTGCATCTTTCTTTATACTCTTCCCTGTCCCTTCATGTATGCAGCGATTCTGCAGTTTTAAATTGCTGTGCTGGTTACTGTCACCATGCAGATTATAATGAATTTCACTACATTTTATAATTACAAGGGGCTGCTTGGGATTCATCTTTATATAATAATCTCCTGTTTATTGTTGAGTGATGTCAGGTCGAAATGAAGATTAAACATGACCAAATGTTGAATATTCTGTTATCACCTTTAGCTTTTCCTCAAAATTGTGTAGGTTGGTAAATATATTTTTCTGAAGCAAGTCGGTGACCTTTTTATTCCCCCTTTGCTTATGAATTTGGCCTTTGAGGCTTGGGATAGTGAAGCATGCTCTTTACCAGCCCTAGTATTCTTCTGGATGGTACATGTCAAGACTTCTGCTGTTAGATAATTAATGGACCCTGGGAAACTGTGGTAATACCAAAAAAGACGTGCATATCATTCATTCTAAGTAGGCCATTGTGCTGTTCTTCCTTTTATTGGTGTTATACACTGATACTTTTCTGGTTGAGGATGCATTTTCTGCTGATGTTTTTTTTTTTTTTTT